CTTCAACAGCAGCTTCAGAACGTCCGTCTTCAGAACCTCCATCTTTTGTCATTTAGTTCTCTCAACCCTTCAGTGAGTGAGCAGTCAAGCATTCATCTTCCTGTATATTTCTCCAGAGTTTGTACTTGGCCAATAAGTATATTTTCAGCCCAACTCTCACATGCTCCTTTTGGATTTTTCACCCGATCCACCTCTCTCGTGTGCTCTCCAGTATGGTGCCCTTCCTCTCTACCCCCACCCAGAGCTTCCCTGGGTGGCCGTCTGACCCCATCAAGGTCAGACAGTGTCCGTGGCCTCATCTAGAGCCTGATGACCAGTTCGTAGGCTAGAGCCCAGGGGCTCACCAACTGGCTGAAGCCTAGAGGACAGTTGGAAAACTTCAAAAACCAATCCAGCCCCATTTTGGGGGCTGCCTTCCTCAGGCTGCTACAGATGGGCTTGAGGAATCAGAGAAGGGAAGAGAAGGAGGTGATGCTGTTATGCACCCCCGTCTCCCAGTTTTCTCGCTCGAGAGCTGCTAGTTTACCTCCAGTTAAGTCAGCACCTGTCAGACTATCTGGAGGTGTTTGTCCAGATGCATTTTCCTAGGCACCACCCAGAGCTCCTGAGTCAGAATCTGGGAGTGCAACCTGGGCATCAGCACTTCCATGGTTACCCCAGTTGTTTCTAATAAGAGGGCTTCCACGTCCATACTCTGAGAAGGGCTGCCTAGAACTCGCCCTCCCTGCAGGGGAGGTTGGCAGGAGAGGTCGTCCAAGAGCGACCTGCTGCTTCAACTACAGCACCTCTGCTTGTATCTGCTGTGCTTGGTTATACTCCGCCGTGGGCTTCCTTTTTCATGCACATTTTCTTCAGCTTTAAAAAAACCTGTTTCGATAGCCATTGGTGTACTGGGAAGAGCCTTGGATCTGGAGTCCAGGTGGCCTGGGTTCAAATCCCTGCTCCGCCATTTACCAGCTGTGTGACACTGGGCAAGGCTCCAACCTCTCTGTGTCATTTCTTCCAGTAAAGATAATCCACTTCATTGGGCCATGTTGAGGATCCAGTGAAACAACATGTGCATAACAGCTTTAGGAACACAGGATCATTCTCCAGTGCAGGCGTTCAGCATCATCTTGGAGCCTGCCATGCCCATGTGCAAATCCAGTGAGTGCGTGGAGTTCTGCACAGGAATGAAGTCGCCTTCTCTTCCTTTCTGCCCTTGTGTGACTTGGGTTTTCCCTAGGGGCCAAGGCCATGACGAGCCAAGGTCATGATGTGGCTCCACTGGAGTCTGTTGTCTCTTCCTCCAAGTCCTCAGAGCTGAGGAGGACAAGAGTTTCCCTGTGGTCAGCAATGAGAAAGGGGACTTCCTTCCTGGGAAGGAGTCTGGTCCCAGCATCTTCCAAGCTCTGCCATCACTGCTGCCCTTCCTCCACCCACCCCATTTGCTGTCTTCTGACTCAACTGATAGAGAAACCACTTGAGAAAGACTTTAGGAGCTGAGGCTGCGGCCAGGCCAGCGGAGTGAGCAGTTTTCAAGTTAGTCCCCTTATCTCCTCTTTTCTAAGAGCCTTTTCTAGGCAGCGACTCCTTCCATCTCCTTGTGGCACCTCCTGATAGAATGTGCAGGTAGGGAGGGGTCCTGGGGAGCACCAGCTGACCGGGAGAGGTTCCCAGCCAGACCTGCCCATCTTTGTGGCTGAGCTTCCTCTTTCCTTTCAGGCTGTCCTCCTGCTTCCTTCCCCACCATCACCATAGCAACACCGTGGTGTAAAAAAATAAAAGAGCTAAGGCATCTAAATATAGTCTGAGTTTCAACACTTCCAGCACAGAGCCTAAAACCTAGGGGATGACAGCTAGAAGCATCCAAAGGATGAGCAGCAGTCAGGAGGAAGGATGAGTCTGGGAAGGGTGGATGGTAGAAGGGAAGGATGCGGAACAGCCGTTCGCTGAGCCTGCTTCTGTGTCTTCTCATGTAACACCCACCCCCTGATGGGGATGGTATCACCTCCGTGTTACTGTTGAAGACACAGAAGCTCAAAGAGTTTAGGAACTTGGTCAAAGTACACAACAGTTGTAAGCATTAGAGCTTCAACTTTTAACGTATGTCTCTGGGACCCCAGAGTTTATGTGTTTTTCCCACAGTACCACACACATAGGTGCAGGCCAGAGATTTTGCTGGGGACACTGGGCTTTTCAAGATGATCATATAAACAGGCTGAGGCCGAACCTGAATAAATCATTGGATGAGATTCAGTGTAGGGCGAGAGGTAGAGAGGAGAGGTCAAATATATGGCTCCTATCTAAGCAGCCCCAGTTTGTTCCTTGAGGACCGGGAAGAATGAAGGGGGTAGTGTTGGTGAGAGTTTCCCATAATGATATAGAGTGGGAATGGAAGCCATTTTAATGCCCTAAAATGGAACTTCAACCTGGGCAAAAAAGGCACAATTAGAAGCCCTAAACCAGAGAATACTCGCTGTGATTCACGCTATCACTCACTCATTCATTCAGCAAATGTTTTTATTAAGCATCTGACATGTGCTCAACTCTGGAGCTATGAAGACAATGAAAACAAATGCCTCCCCCACCCATCTAGAGCTTAAGACAGTGGAGAAGATAAAGAAATAATTACACATGTGACTGATTCTATACAACTGTGACACGTGCAAGTCTCTAACAGAAGACCATCACCTCCCTGCTGGTATCAGTGTAAGGGAAATACAGATGCTGTTACAAATGAAAAAAACCCACTTGGTCATTTTTAAAGGTGATGTACATTTTCAAGGTGTTGTATTAATGATGTAGCTTCAACCATGGGCCTGTGTGATCGGTGCACCCTATGGACTCATTCCCTGCCTGTATCTTCTCGACTGTCATCAAGTCCATCTGATAGTCGTACAGATGAGGCTTTCAAAACCCAGCAAACTAGACCCAAATGATGTCTGACAATATGGAAATGTGTTATGTATGTTGTCTTCCTACAACCCTTGGCATCACTGGCTTAAAACCAAGTGTGTGCTAATGTAGACAAGGTGAATCAAGCCATGGTATTGGCTCCCTCAGGCTGCCAGGAGCAGCACTGGGAAGTGCCTGTGAAATAAGCAGGTGTGGGAGGGGAGGGAGTAAGGATTAGGAAGTTGTAAATTTCTGAGGATGCAATGCTTTCCCAAACTACCTGCAAGGCAGCAAATACGGCTGTATGAATGAGTTAGAATTAGATAATATAATGTGTGTGGAGCCCTTTAGCTCTGTAGAGAAATAACTGTCTAAATACATGGTGCTCGCATCAAAGATAATGATACAGTACTCCATTTACAGTGCTCTGCTACCTGCCTGCCAGCTCCTTCCCAGGGATGTGGTGCAGATGAATGGGCAAGATCCAGGGAATGTGCTTTGAAAGCCTTGATTAAAGGCCCTCCAAGCAGGTGTAGAATTTCAGGTGTGTTATATTGCTGTCATTGTCGTTAGCTTTTCCTTTATCACTCCAGAGTGTCACTGCCTTCATTTCAGGTGAACAACTCTGCCTGACTGTTTCATGCCCTGAATGTCATTGGAAAGTCAGCGGCCCACAGATGTGCAGGATAAATAAACATGTTTTTAACTGAAGGTTCCAGAGGCGTGCTGGGCCAGCTCTTGCCAGCTGCTCCTCCCCTCTCTGTGAACCCAAGCTCATTTTATTTCCACCACCAGGACAGGAAGAAGCAAAGACTGTGCTTGCAATGAGTGTTGATTGCAAACCTTCTGGTCCTGCACAGGGTTGAGAGGTGGCAGCTGGGGGAAGGGCAGATAGTGGACTGTGAAAGGGAAGCAGCTTTCTCCCCCGCCTCACTCAGCCAGGCCAGCAGAGATGGGGCACAGCTCAGGAGACGTCACTGAGGTGGGGACAGGCCGGGAAAGGAGCTCGAGAAATTGGCACTAATTGGGACTACGAAACCAGAATCTAGCATCTCTGGGAACAGAAAAGGGTTTGGTTGGGAGGCCGATCTGTCAGCAAGAGCAGCCAGGATTAGGCTAGAAGGAAGTGAATTCCAGTACTGCCTCCACCTTCTTGACCTGCCGTGGAGGACTTCTCATCCAAGGTGGTGGAGCCTTCAGTAGGACAAATTGGTACCATTGCTTTTTCCACACATTCCCCCAGGGAGATCAAACAGACCCCTTGAAGGCCCTTCTCTAACCAATGGGATTTAAATATGTAAATGAACTGCCCCTGGGACCAGCCTCTCAGCCCCTGCCCTAGGAGAGAACAAAGAGCAGTGTAGGGTCAGAGGGAAGGTTGCGCTCTAAGAGGCAGGCAGCTAACATGGGAGCAACAGGTGCAGGAGAAAGATGATCCTTACTTCCAAACAGACTTCCTAAGACAGGCTAAGATATGCAGGGATAGGAAAATGAGGAATGATGTGGAGGAAACACAAGCTCACTCCAGGCATACCCCTTTGTAATTCTTCTACAGGCCATGGAGCTCAGAAAACACTGTCTGGTCCCAAACCAGCACTTGGCAAACTCCCAACTATCTCACCCTTTTCTGACCCTATCCAGGGAGCTAGGAAAAGAACAATCCCTTTACTGGTTGCTCTAGTCATAACTTGCACAACAGACCATTATCAAATTAAGGGAAATTTATGACTGCTTATTATGGGTAATGACTATGCTACGTGTTTTAATTACATTGTCTCATTTAACCCTCTCAAAACCCCAGTGCGGTATGTTTGATTATTGTACCCATCTTCAGATAAGGAAACCAAGGTTCATAGAGATAAGCCATTTGCCGAAAGTCCTGAAACCCTTAAATACTGACTCCAGATATCTCTGACACTAAGGCTCATGCTCTTCACCACTAAATGACAGAAACAAAAAATTGTTTTCATAACGTTGGTCACAGGAAGGAACAACAGAGTATATTAATACTTAACTAAAGTCATGACTGAATTACTGACGTGATAGCAGAGCCGGGTTCTAGCCAACAGGACTCCTTTCTTGCATATTTTGAAGGTCAAAGGGTTTTAGATTTGTTTGGAAAGGGAGAAGGGAGTGATTAAAGTGATCTTTTCATAAAAGGAGACCAACAGCAGTGCTCTGTGAAAGGAGTGATGGAGGCAGGGAAGGGGGCAGGGATGGAGTCAGGGAGACCAGCCACGGGTCAGTCCCAGCACACCTTCCAGTGTAATCACACGTTATGAGGGAAGTCCAGGCTCCGCAGTTGGTCCCCAGCTCAAATTCTGGCTCCACCACTTAGTAGTGTTCATTAACTATTCATTCATCCATTGAACAAATATGCATACTGGGGGCATCTTCTATGTGCCAGAGACACAGTGTGCTGGTAAATGAGACAGGCATGGTTTTTGCTCTTACGGACCTTGTATTCTGGTGGGAGAAACAGACTGTACACAGATAAAACAAATAAGTAATCAAGATAAAAATGAAACCGGGTGATTTGCTGGAGAGTAGTGGCAGAGCCAATCAGATTGTGTGGACAAGGAAATAATATATAAATGGAGACACTTTTTAAAAAGACTTGATGATAAGAATCTGGAGGAGGAAAGTTCTAGACAGAGGAAACAGCTAGGGCAGAGGCCCTGATGCAGGAGCGAGGTTGATGCATTTGAGATACAGAAAGAAGGCAAGGACAGGTAGGGCAGAGTGGGTGGAGGGCGAGTGGTGGGAGGTGAATTTCCGGCAAGCCAAGCTGAGCTCTGCAGGGTGATTCTGGAACCTGCAGCATCTGGATCGCTGGGAACTTGTCTGTACTGCAGATTCTCAGGCCCTACCCAGACCTCTCGAATTGGAAATAATGGGGATGGGGCTCAGCATTCTGTGTTTCATCAAGCCCTCTCAATGCTTCTGAGTTTGCTTAAGTTTCAGAACTTCTGGGCTAGACACTGCAGTTTTAATTTTATTCTAAGTGCAGTGGGAACCTACTGAGGGTTTAAGTAAGGGAATGGTATACTAGGATTTTCTTTCAAATTAAAAAAAAAAATCATCCTAGCTGTTGAGAATAGAATGGACTCTAAAACAGCAAGATGAATGGAAACAGGGAGCCAGGCTGGGTTGGGTGGCTATTGCAAGGGCCTCGGCCAGAGGGGACAGTGGCTTGAGCCGGGTGGTATGGCAGAGAGGAGATGGGACCTCACTGGAGAAAGGCAGGGGGCAGAAGCTAGGGCCACAGTAAACAGACTGCCATCCGCCAGAGCACAGTTCAAAGGCAATGTCTTCAGAGAAGACATTCCACTCTCCCTCATCTCCTCCCTTTTGTCTAAAAATAGGGAGCTCCAGGCAGAGATCTGGCCTGCTCCAAGAGGGCAGGGGCTTCCTCTGTTGCAAAAGGAAAGGTGATGGGGCAGGAGAGTGGGGAGCAGTGATGAGGGGATGGACTTTGAAAGGCTGAGAAAATTGGCTGGCTTCCTGAAAGGCCTAAGGGGTTCATCCCAGAGGGTGAAGTAGGAGCCCTACTTACATTGCACATGCACGCACACACATGTGCACATACAGTTGAGTGAGACCTGCAGTTTCCAAAAGCAAGGGTTATGCTTTTTTGCTCAGATTATTATTGTCAACTGAAAAAAAAAAAAAGCACAACCTAAAAGTTGAGAGTTATGTTTTATTTGGTGCACTTTCTGAGGACTTCAAGCCCAGGAGGCAGCCTCTCAGATAGCTCTAAGGGACTGCTCCAGAGGTAGGGGAGGGGCCAGGATATACAGGATTTTTTACAACAAAGACCTGGTAGTAGGAACACCAAAAGATTGCTGTGAATTAAAGAAAACCAGATACCTCAAGTTTACTGATTTAGCTCTTTTCTTTGTATGGGAAGATGCAAAAGTCTGGGCTCATAGAAAACATTCCTTTGATATGCGCCTTAGCAATCTAGGGCCAGTATCCTTTCCCATCCTGAGTTAGTCCCCTCGGGGTGCACCGCTGGGAGTGGCTGCAGAGGCTGAGGACTTGGGCAGTGGGCAGCCTGCTAGTCCCATCCTGAGTTCCCTCTGGCTCACTGTCAGGGACTGTGTGGCTGATAGCTTAATGGTTGCAGCATCCTTTGTTTACTGATATGGCAGGCAGTATGTTTCATTCACATTACCCACAAAAATCTCAAGAGAGAGGTAATCCTCCTGTATAGGGGAATGCCTTACGAGAAGGCAGCAAGTAAAGAAGCAGCAGCAGAACTCAAACGCCTGTCTTTTGCCTCCAAGTCTAACATCCTCTTCGTCATACCACATGGCACCAGATGACCCCTGGCGTGGATTAGGATCAGGGTGACGTCATGCAGCTGCACAGATGTGTCCTGTCTTTATTTAAAATTTTGGTATTTTGTTCATCATGGATTTTTTTACGTTACTTTCTGAGTTTTTAAATGTTGCATTAAAATATGATTTATCTTGATTACTGAGCTGTTTGGTGGACCCTTAAATTTTGCTCCTGTGCCTCGCTTGCCTCACACTGGTCCTGACCCTGGATCCGTTACTCTCTGTGTCAGCCTCTTACATTGACCATCAGCAGAACTTCAGACCTTTAACACGAAGCAAATAGGCTTTCCATTCCCCTCACCCTTGTGAAATCTCAGCTGCTGATTTCAGACTGTCTATCCCAAGATGTTGGCCTGCTATGTTCCTGCCAAGATCACCAAGTAGCAGAAGGCTAGGTCCTCACATTGGAGCAGAGGGTACAAGACCCATCACTTCTGCGGCTGAGCTGGGGCTAGGACTCAGCCCTGCCGACTCCAACCTCTTGACAGCCTGAGCCCTATTTTGTATCTCCATGCTGTGCAAAACAAGAATTTGCCATTTGGCTGGTAGAAGAAGGGAAGAACCCTGAACCAGAAAAACAGATCATTTAGAAGTATCGCAGGCAGAAACTTCAGACAACCCCTTTGGGACCCACAGCACATAAATCACCCAAAATGGTGACAGTGGCTGAAGGGTAACCTGGATGCTGTCCTGTCATTCAGGGCCACTGAATTGCACAACCCCAGGGCCAGCATTCCCTGTGACATCCACGTGAATGGAGCCCAGTTCTGCTCAGTTTAGCACTGGATTGATTCAGTCAAGAAAATACCTGTAGAATCAACTAATCTTCCACGTACTTAAGACACTAATGGAAGGATTTTCTCGGTCCAGCCCAGGGACAGTAATCTTTCCTGGACTTGCTCTTTATTAGGATCTCCAGAAATTATCCACCAGAAATATGGGCTATATAAATATTCCAGTGGGCAGGGATTTGAGGCAGAAGGCAGGAGGTTTGACTGCGTTTGACTCCAGGGCTGGGAAGCCAGCTCCTCTCTCTTCTTAATCATTAGAAAGTCTTCCTTGGACCTGAATTTTCACATCTGGACAGTACAAATATCTCTCCTTTCTGCTTGGGTCAAAATCATTCTTTAAAAAATGAGATTCCCAGCAGAGAGAGAAAGCAAGACAGAGAGACAGCTTCTCCAAAGCTATAAATCAGATAACCAATCACTTGTTCTCTTCTGAGCTGGGAGCAGACACATTGTTAAGTAGAAGGATTTTATAGATTATTCTCAGAGCCTTGCCAAGAAAGGGATTTATCAATTTCAAGGCACAGAAATGGCTTATTCCCAGAACTTTGGTGGGTTTTTTTTTCTTTTACTTCCCCTTTTGACTTAGAAGTGGGAGAGAATTGGAGCTGTGAGTCATCCTCCTCTCCCCACCCCACCTTTGTGGGGTGAGGCAGGGCACACTTGGCGCTAAAATAGGGCTGTGGATGACTTAGTCACATATAGAGCTGAGACCCACATAGGTCTGCTATTGGGACTGGAAATCCAATTCCCCTTTGAGGATAACTAGGCAAGGCTCCTACAGAGACTGCTTTCAAGAAGGCCAGATTCTCCCCCTAATGTACAGTGGAAAGTTCCTAGCCTTCACCCCACCCATCATGTCCCCACTCACATGCATACACACGCAATCAGGAAGATGAAGGACTCCCCACCATAGGGCAGCAAAGAGGGAGAGAAACCTTTATTGTGGCTTGAAGAGCACTCTTGTCCGAGCAGAGAAATTATAGTTAGACAACGGGTGAACACACTCATTTTCCCGTGTGTGAGCATACACACACAGAGACTTTTATCTTTGCATGGTGGCCATGAGAAGTGGTCAAGTTTAGATGCCTCCTTGAGGTTTGTGGTATCCCTAAAGCAAGACAGATTTGATGCTGGACAGAGTGTGGAGAGAAGGGAACTCTCCTACACTGTTGGTGGGAATGTAGTTTGGTGCAGCCATTATGGAAAACAGTGGAAATTCCTTTAAAAAACTAAAAATAGACTTACCATATAATCCAGCAATCCCACTCCTGGGCGTAAATCTGGAGGGAACTCTAATTTGAAAAGCATAGCAGCACTATTTACAATAGCCAACATGGAAACAACCTAAATGTCCATCAACAGATGACTGGATAAAGAAGTTGTGGTATATTTATACAATGGAATACTACTCAGCCATAAAAAAGAATGAAATAATGTCATTTGCAGCAACATGGATTGACCTAGAGATAGTCATTCTAAGTGAAGTAAGCCAGAAAGAAAAGAAAAATAGCATAAGATACCACTTATATGTGGAATAAAAAAAAAAGACACAAATGGACTTACTTACAAAACAGAAGCAGACTCACAGACATAGAAAACAAACTTGTGGTTACCAAAGGGGAAGTGGGGGGCAGTGGAGAGATAAACTGGGAGTTCAGGATTTGTAGATACTAACTACTATATAGAAAATAAACAACAAGGTCCTACTGTATAGCACAGGGAACTATATTGAGTACTTTGTAATAGCCTATAATGAAAAAGAATATGAAAAGGAATATATGTATGTGTGTGTAACTGAATCACTCTACTGTACACCAGAAATTAGCACAACATTGTAAACCGACTGTACTTCAATAAAAAAAAAAAAAGGCCAGATTGGGGAGGATACAGTGCAGTGGTAAGCTCATGCTTAGCATGTACAAAGTCCTGGGTCCAATCCCCAGTACCTCTATTAAAAAATAAATGAATAAATAAACCTACTTATCTCCACCCCCCTCCACAATTTTTTTTTAATATTAAAAAGACAGATTTGAGCTGCCTGGGGAATGTAAACCAATTCCTTCCCTTGAGACACTAAATTTCTTAGAGCTTAATATTAGCTCTTATGCTGTGAAAATTCCACAAAAGCAAAGGTCAGGGGCAAAAGGGATGTTTTCTGTCCATGTTGACACCACTAGACTATTAGCTCCATGTGAGCAGGAACACGCTTTTGATAAATAAGGAGTGGGTATGTGGATGGATGGACGGATGGACATTACAGAGATTCCTGGGATGAAAGGTTCAGTCTTTATCCTCTATGAAAGGTCAGAAAGCGTAAACATTTGTGATTTAAAATCTTTTTTACCCTGTAGAGGCATGGCAGCCTCTGAAAGGAAGGGTGTCTAATTTAGAAGACTGCATTTCTAAGAAATTAAAATTTTTCCTCATCTTGCCTTGACCTTTGGGAAACAGAGTGAGTGGCCCCATTGGGGTTTTTGGTACCATTTTGCCTCTGACCATATCCTGAAGCCTACATCCATAATCAATTGTACAATCATTTCAGATGCCCTTTCCCATTTAGCCACAGGTAGGAAGCTCTCCAGGCATTGGAAAAGTGTGTATTTAGGAGAGCAAAGGACTCAGTTATGTATTACAGTGCCCAGTTGTGAGCCCAGACACTCCTGAACAGACAGGATAAGCATCAAGTCCTCCAACGTGGGTGTGCGCCCAACGCCTTGCCCAGCAGTCAGGTCTTAACTTTCAGTGGAGACAGAATGCTCCTACATTTTGCCTAGGGGAAGCCTCATGTCTGTGGGTTTTCTCTGAACACCCCAGCTAGTCATAGGTATGGAGAAACTGCAAGCAGCAGAGGGCTCATCAGAAAGGTCCAGAATAGATGCCAAAGTGGCAAAGATCATGGGCACACTCTTGCATACACACCAAAACACCCTTCCCTCCCACTCTGGACCTCCCTACCTGCTCATCTGCCTGTCCACCTGACTACTCCAGCAGGTTGCACAAAGTTCTTCTGTGAAATCCATGTCTCTGCCTCCACCTGTCCCATATTCTTGTTGGTTCAGGCATGTATGTGGAATAGTGAATCAGGCAAGGTTCTGCCAAGCAGGGCCACTGTGTACAGTTGTGAAGGTTGTGCACTGCATAAAGACCCTGGCGTGGGCCAGAACTCTAGACACCAAGCCCCGTGCCCTGACATGAGGCTATGCAAGCCAGAGGAAGGTGCTCTCTCCTCACCAAGCTGTGTATCTCCAGGGCTGTATTTTTTCTCAACTTTGCACAGAGGTGCCGTAGAACCTAACGGCGGCCCTGCCAACAGGGCAAAATATTCTGGTTACAAAATAGATACTGCAAGGCAGTTTCAAGAGGTCATCTGGCTCAGGTCCTGAAATCATAACATTTAAAAAGCCTTTCATATTAGTTGTCTATTGCTGTCATAAACTTAGAGACTTAAAACCATACCCATCTATTAGCTCACAGTTCTGTAGCTCAGAAGTCCAGGCATGGTGCGGCTGGGTTCTCTGCTCCAGGTCTCACAAGGCCAAAATCAAAGTGTGGGCAGCTGAAGTCTTATCTAGAAACTCTGGGGAAATATCTGCTTCCAGGCTTATTCAGGTTGTTGGCAGAATCCAATCTCTTGTGGCTTTAGGTCTGAGGGCCCCATTCCTTGCTGTCTGTCATCCAGGGACCACTCTGTACCTTGAGGCTGCCTGTATCCCTGCTCATGCGATGCCCTCTGCCTTTAAACCAGAAGCAGCGTGTTGAGTCCTTCTCATGCTTCAGAGAGAGTCGTGCCTGAATCCTTCTGGCTTCCTCTCTGTTTTTAAGGACCCCTGTGATTAGAGCAGGCCCACCTGGAAGATCTCCCTATTTTAAGATCAACTGCGACAGATAACATATTGTATAACATGAAGGGAGTGACATTTCATCGTATTCACAGGCTCCGGGGATTAGGGCAGAGGATCTTTGACAGGATATTTTAGAAATGTAACCTACCGCAGCCTCCTCGCCCACCCACATTCCTTTTAAAAGCCAAATATTTGAGCCTTTGTGTTTGAACAAGCTCATTCCTGCCTTACTTTGTCAGATAGTTACCCATTTTGAGCAAATACCAACACGTAGTAAAATAATTGATCGATCAATCAGAACCACCTTTTCTCTTCATCACCTCTCTCAAACACATTGGTAGAATCTGACACTGTCTGTCTGCTGGGAATAGCTCCTACCAGTTCACAAGCGCTGATTGTGAAGTGTTTAAGATTTTTGCAAGCTGGCTGTTAAAACTATTAGTACCTTAAAATTGACTATAGCGGGGGTATTTACACCATGGACAGCATCACCTCAAATCAAGATTCCTTTCTTTTTTTCCAGTAAGCAGGCTTACCAGTGTGCCACTGGGGGTCAGCCTTTCTTTCCAGGTCATGTCCTTGACCTCCTGTAGCCATCGGAATCCTTTCCACAGCCTTTTTCATGTGCGGACATCACCTTACTTTTTAATTCCACCAGGAACGCGGCAATCACACCCTTTAAAATCAGTTCATTTCATGGTAGAGTTGAAGTCTGCCTCCCTGCCAGTAGCCTCAGTCCTTTGGACACAGCACTTGTGACAATCCCAGAACCATTCGGAGTGATCGCCATCTCCCCCAGGAGACAGTTCTCTAGATCCACGTATCAGATCCCAGTTAGAAGCTCTGTCTTTAGAGCCGCATTGTCTGAGTTCAAATCCCAGCTCTACCGCTCTTTAACTATGACCTTGGGCAAGTCTCTTAACTTTTCTGGGCCTCTGGTTCCTCATCCATAAAATGGGGATAAAAATAGTACCCACCTCATGGGTTATGGTGAAGACTAACCAAATGAGATGCTATATGCACCTTGCCTGGCCCGTACCTGCTTCCTGGGTTTATTGTGAAGACTGAATTACTTAAAGTGCCAGAATGGGACAGTACCTGGCATCAAGTCAGTGCTATGAAATACTAGTAAGTAATGGGAAGCATGGTTTCTGGGCCGTTCATCATGCCAGTCACCCTGTTCTGGGTGCACTCTGATTTCCTTCTCAAACTGGAGTGTCAGAAGGGACCTAACTCCAAACTCTGGCTGAAATGCTAGACTGGTTCCAACCTGCTTTCCCTGACTGGCACTAGTCTGGGGGTAGCTGTCTCATTTTCTCTAAGTTTCAGCACAATCAGAGAGATGTTCCCAAGGAGTCTTGGGCCCTGGACCAGCAGCAGAGGGATACCATGTTTACCTGTTAGAAATGCAGACGCTCAGGCCCTGCCCCAGACCTGCCTGATCAGAATCTGCATTTTAACAAGATTCTCAGGGGAAGCATACACACGCCAAAGTTTGACATGCGCTGCTTTCAGGACCCTGTGACACACCTATTTTCAAGGGAAAATCAATGAAAGTGTCCTAAGCCTTCTCATGACACAGGGAGCCTTTCTCCCAGACCTTGGTAGCAGCGGGCGGAGTGCCAGTGTTGGGCTGTCAGGGTGTGGTTGGAGGTGGGAGGGGCTTTTCTGTCCTGGTTCAGAGCATGAAACGTGGCAGGGAAGGAGATGGGGGCTGCTGGCACTGACTAGAGAGATTAAACAAACAAACAAAAAACCCCCAAAACTAAAAGAACAACCCAACAGGGATGTGAGGCTTTTGAAAGCTCCCACAGAAAGGCTAACAGCTCTGCCTTCAGCTCTGTCCTGTGGCCCCAGGTCAAGGAAGCTTTGTGAGGGTTAGCTGGCCTGGAGCGGCCGTGATAAATTTAGAAACGATGAGAAGGAACCTTTCTTGATACAGTGAAGAGTCATTTAGTGGGAATCAGGAGGGAAGAGGTCACTAAGTCAGAGATTATTTAAAGATTATTTCTAGCAAGGAGGGGCCAAAGGGTTAGGAAGCCACCTACTCGCATTGAGATGCAGAGGTAGATCCCCTGATTCCCTTCTTGTGCTGCCTGAATTTAAATGGGAACTTTCTGTGGTTCTTTACTGTGGCCACAGCTTGGGAATGACACTCACAGTGTACCAACCTGCTTGTACGAAAGAAACTATTAGAGTAACATATGTGAAAATTCCAACTCTGATGCTTACTAGCTGTGTGACTCTGGGCAAGTTACTTAACCTCTCTGAGCATCTGTTTTCTCATCTTTATAAAGTTGGACGAGTAATATATATGTTGCACAGCTAAAGTAAGGATGAAGTAAGAAAGTTCGTTTCATGGCGCTGAATGTAATGTAAATGCATGTATTATTATGTTAGACTCCTTCCTGGCTTAAAGGTCCTAATTTGGAATTGGGTGTCCTCATACAAAGGAGTATTCTGAGAGGCCAGTCAAGCAGCCTGAAATGTGTTTCCCAATCCCTTCCAGGTTGCTGGTGGGAGAGCTCCTGGGAGCATCTTTTCCAAGCAGCACAGTTGGGTCTTAGCTGGGAATGCTGCATGCTTTGGCACCTCCCTCCAAAGAAGGCTCGGAAGAGAGGCAGGTGCTGGCCTGGGGCCTCTGAAAGCATTACCAGCTCCAGGAGCAGCTGCTCAAGATAATCAGACCCCAATCTGGGCAGAAGGAGGAGTTGGGAATAGGACAGACAGGTTCAGAAGTCCTAGCCTGAACCCATGAGTTAGATCCTGGCTTGTTGTTGGAGAGAGCTCCCATAGACTGGACAGATAGAGGAGGCTGAGTGACTGAAGGTGTAGTTCAATGACATTCAGGCTTCTGTTCCCTTTGTCCCACTGAGAATCATTGGGCATTCCATCAAAGTAACCTTCAATATCTTTTTTGTCCCTAATGAGTTGTATTTTTACTGTGAAAAGACAGAGTTGATTCATTTCATGAAGCCCCAGGTTCATGATTAACTTCATCAATTTCAGATTAATTTCATGAAATTAGAAATTTTATGACTTGCTGGTATGTTACAGATTCACCATTAGAAAGTCACTCAGGAAGACATGATTGAAGGTCTCCTCCACACCAGGCACTAGAATGACAGTGGCAAATAAGAGATGTCCCCTGTCCTCAGGGAGCTTATACTCTAATACGGGCAGGTAGGGTCTAGACAAGTAAGTTAGTAACCTAACCAGCTAACCAGCTGTGATCAGTGCACTGAGGGAATAAGCAGAGTAAGTAACGTGATGGAACACGATGGAGAGGTAAGGATGGTGGGGAGGAAAGAGATCCAAAGAGATAACATGGCCCTGGAAGGCCACCCTGAGGAAGGAATGTCTGTGTGGAGACCAAAAGGATGAGGATAAGCATGGGCCCAGGCACAGGGAAGAGCAACGGTGATGCCCTAAGTGGGAAAGGACTTGATCTGAGGAACAGAAAGACCAATCTGTCTGGGACACGTGAGCAGTCATGAATGCAGCTGGATTATATACGATCCTGTGGGTTGCGGTAAAAGACTTTGTATTAATTCCAATTATAGGAGACGTGGAAGGACCTGGGTTTTATTTTTAATAGGTTACCCTTGTTAGCAGGGAAGGGACTGAAGGAAGAGGGCAAAGATAGGAGCAGGAAAACCTCTTAGGAGGCAGTTGCAAAGTCCAAGGGAGAGGTCATGGTGTTTTGATCTAGGTCTTGATAGCAGAGGGAAGATGGTGGTGACTTAAATGTATTCGGGTCAGAGGTGGGCACTGGGAGAGAGGAAGAGGAGGGTGAAGGAAAGGAAGGAATCAGGGGTGATTCCAGGATTCCAGGATAGATGATGGTGTCATTGACTGAAATGTGGAAGAACAAGTTTGGAAAAAGAACTCAAGTCCTGGCTGGTGACTCTTATAAATTTAAATGTTCCCGTGGCCTCATTTGTGGCTGGAGCAGAACTGAGAACTTTCTCAATTGTCAAGAGCTGTAAAGGATTTCTCTAGCCTCCAGGCGAGGTAGCACCTTAAGTGCAAAGAGATGTGATGCCTTCCCATGAATGATCCCAGGGAGGGAGTTTTACACTCCGCCTCCTCCACGCATTACACGCCCCAACCAGAGGCTCCTCCTAGCCACCTGAACGTCTCTTTCCACTGCTCAATGTCTGTCCTCGTTTCCCTGTCTTCAACTAAGCTGTCGTAGGCTTCGCTTATTCTGTTTATCTGTTAACTAAAAGTCAAATAAGCGCAGGCCGTGCTGTGTTTCTGACTTGTGGTCCTTCCAGCCCAGAGCTTGTCACTGACAGGGAGACAAAGCCAGATTTGGGAAGAATGAGTTGCGCTACCTGCCACCACCTTTAACATTCCAAGCCCCTCTAAGAACCCATTCGGGCGTCTCTCATCCTGTTTTATCCAGTTTTTCTTGACCTGACTTTTGTTTCCTGCCTGTATCACCGCTTGGGTCACCAGTTCTATGTGTTGATTTCCTTTAATTCTCTGACTCAGTGACTGGAGATGATATGTTTCCCTTGGATATTACTCTCAAACTACCAAATTGGGGTCGTATTACTCTTAGTAAGAATGATTCCTATTTGTCAAACATTTCCTAGGGAGCATGCCCCCTGTCAAGTGCTTTGCATGCATGAGCTCAGTTAAGAACACCGTGAAGAGGAATGAATAGGTATTCACTTTACAAATGAGACTTGGAGAGCTTTAGCAAGTTGCCCGAGGTCACCCAGCTAGTGAGAGGTGGGGGCCGAGTTTGAGCCCCATCCCAGTCTCCAGTACCCGTGCTGCTGCCCCGGGGGAGGGAAGGCCAAAGTGTCGTGGCCTCTCCGAGGTGGAAGGCCCATGCTTTCTCTGGTGACCAGCCAGGTGTTTCTGTGACTAGGGTAGGTGTGGCAAGTGATGAAGGTTTGGAGTCTGTTTTTGAAGCATTGGGGTCGGGAGTGGGGTGGGGGCGTGGCTTAGTAACTGCAATTACTTCACTTCAGGAGCCGTGGACCTATGTCTGGTGCTACAGGATCGACAGTGTGGACAACGGAAGCTCAGTAGACATCCAAAGATCTAACGGTGACTTGGGAAAGCTCAAGAGAGCAGAGAGGATGTCCCGAGTCAGGATGTAATGACATTCCTACGTTATAAAAAAGAATAAAGGGTGGAGCTGAAGGCCTGAGTCTCCTCGACCAAGGGCCCCCGCGGGCTAGCGGCCAAGTGCCGTGCACAGCTGAGCGGGCCTCCCACATGGGCCTTTTCTTTCCCAGGTGGAGGGGAGACTGAGCTCCGTGCCCACCTCCACCCTGCCATGTCTCACACCCTCTGGGAGAGGCCTAAACATCTTATCTGGGGTCTGGTCCAGAAATGTACCCCTCATCAAGCAAAAGGTGGGAGAGCTCAGGTCCACCTCTGTTTTTAAAGCTCCTTGTAATGAAAAATAAAAAAGTAAAGAAATATAAAAAAAAAGTAAGAAAAAAAGTAAAGAAATGCAAAACAGGGTTACTGAAATTGGTTTAAATTTTTCAGTGCTGAACAAAACACCACCTTTTAATATAAAAAACAATACAGTTGTACTAGTCACAGAGTATTACAAGAGTTTAGAGTTCCTGTGATCTAGCCGGTGAATTCCTCTGACTGCAGAAGCTCATTTGGAAATCAGGTAGTGTTTGGTGCCTGCTGTGAATTACCAGAAGTTGTGACTTGAGCCAAACGGCCCTCCTGGCTTCCCTGTGATAGTCACTACCACAGAGAACGGGAGGGGTTCCAGACAAGACTCCCACAGGCCCACTCCCCGCCTCTGTCCCCCGCCTTCTGCCCTTTCTATGAAATAAACTTTCAAGTCAATATCAGCTGATTTCAAAGGTAAAAAAAATTTTTTTTTAAATTCTCCAGTGTCCTCAGAGTAAGAGAGGATAAGGAAGCAAATGTTTTGGGAGGACTTAAATGCCTGGGCCTTTCTATAGATATTACATCCTAGCTCGCACAACTGCCCTGGGATGGTGTAAGCATTATTCAACCCATTTTTGTATCATTTGAATGATTTGTCCAAGGTCATGTAGCATGTCCAGGATTAGAACCCAGAACCTTGGGACTGTGAAGCCTGAGCTGCTTCAGTCTTTGAGTCTGATCAAGAGCCATGGAGCCGCACGAAGCCCAGGAGGAGCCCAGTGGGGCTGGAATGGGGGCCTCAGGCCGCAACTCCCCTCCAAGCTCCTGTGGTGTTGGGGCAAACTTTGACCTTTCTGGATCTTTTCATTGTTCCTTTCTCTTCCTGTTTCTTCTCCTGGCTGGCTGGCCCCACCCACTCTGCTCCTTGCTTATGATACTTATTTTTCCGTCCACAGCAAAACAATTCACATCAAGGTAATTGATGATGAGGCGTATGAGAAAAACAAGAATTACTTCATTGAGATGATGGGCCCCCGCATGGTGGATATGAGTTTTCAGAAAGGTGTAGTACCCTGTCCTCCACACTAACGTTAACATTCTTCCCTCCTCTTCTGTCTCCTCCTTTCTCCAGCTCGTTTTTCTCCTTCTTTCCCCCTTTCTTCTGCCTCTCTGGTTCCCTGTCCCCTGTTCCCTCTCTTGTTGTCTCTTCCTCTCTTTTCACCTCTCCTTCTCCTATCTTTGCTCCCAGCTCTGTCCTAACACCTGCCAGCCTGTCACATGGTATCCGTAAGAGGGATGCTTGAAAGTCAGTGGTAATTTTTGTGGGATGGGGAAATGGATGTGGGGAAAAAACTGAGAGAGAGAGAGAGGGAGAGAGAGAGAGAGAGAGAGAGGGAGAGAGAGAGGGAGGGAGAGCACCAGCTACAGCCCTCACAGTATCATAGGTGAGGCTCTCTGTTTCTTCTGAGTGGCTTAGTGTACAGGGAAGAAGAAGATAGCACAACCCCAGGCAGAAAGACAGCCCTAGGAAACTGGCCCAGGCTCTCAGCACAGATTTCCACCGGGAAGACCTTTTCAGGGCTAAGCTGATATCCCCTGGATGTTGAGAATCAATGAATTTGAATTTGGGTTCTGTATGTGTCTCATTCCATTCCCCAAGACAGGTCTCAAGAGCCCTCTTATCTGCCCTGTCCCTGCTGTCAAGGTGTGTTTCTCTCCCTGACCTTGGATGAGCTGCAAGCACAGGTCTGAGCTCCAGGTCTAGGTCAAGGACCTTCTTGCCAAATTCTGTCTGCCTCCGGAAGAGCGCTTGGGTATGGAGGCAGTTAGAAGAGTGAGAGAGAGGATTCTGACCTGAGGGGAAGCTTCCCCAAGGAATCATGGGACCTCTCAGACTGGACGGAGCTTTTGCCAGCAACTTAAATGGCTGCATACACCCCAGGCCTCCAATAGGCAAGTCAGAAATTCCTCTTCTAGATAGATGGTACAGTGCGGTGGGAGCTGCTAGAATTCACCATTCCTTCCCTGGCTGAGCCGTCAATCATGCGCCTGCAGGCGATGCCCATGGTCACAGAGCAAGCACCCCATTCCCGCCCCACAGCAGAGCCCGTGCAGTGGGAAAACAGGTCAGGCTCAAGTCCCGTAGACAGCCATAGGGTACCACGTCTAGGGCCTCCAGGGATTCCCAGAAAATGCTTCTGGACAATCAGTGAACTTTGTCTTTTGTTCACAGAGCGTGGTGTGGAAAGGTGTCCAAAAAGTGCTCAAAAGGCAGCCAGAAATGCACTTGTAAAACACACACACACACACACACACGCAAAACACAAAGGCGCAGCAAGTCCTGGGCCTAACAAGTTACCAGATCAGCCTGCCACTTTATAGATAACAGAGCTGAGCCTGTCTTGAGAAGAACTTTTTTGTTTGTTTGTTGTTGTTGTTATCATTGTTTTTTGGCCAGAGAGATTTATTACCTGTACTGATACCAACAGAGATATTTAAGAGTTAGAGTAAGACTTGCATCGTTAAGACTTGTGGATTCGCATCTGTGAGACTGTAACCGCTCGGCTCTGTAGTCACACGTGCTGGTCTGCTCTGCTGCTGCATCAGAGGAAACGTCAGAGGCTCTGATGAGACACTCTAGGGCATTGTTTGTTAGGGCCTTTTGGCCCTTTAGAAAGCATTTAGGTCTCAGCACCCCCTCACCCCCCAGCTCCCAAAAAATGAATAGAAAATAACAATTAGGCCTCACTATGGGGACCCGTCAACACCACTGCGGTTCCATGAAGGACAAGAAGAAGCCACACAGGGAGATCCAGGCCCATGTGGCAACTTCTCCAATAACAGTGGGCCTGAGTCAGTCCTCGTGCGAGTCTGTGGAATGGAGTGATTTTCGAGGAAACTTTGCTGCCCTGAATGATTTGTTTTTAAAAGATGCAATGCTCTATTGAGATACCCACAAATGAACAGAAACCTCCATCACCATGTCCCCCAGACCCTTGTTAATCAGCATCTTAGGAAGTCAGCTTCGGGGGACAACACCCTGTGTGCTAGAAGTCCGAAGATGATTTAGAATTGATGACTCACATCATCTTCACCACACTTTTCCAAGAGTGCATCAGCTGTAAATATTAAAGGAGTCCTATATCATATTGTGGTTAATACATACGTATTTTACTTCCCATCACGAAGGCCCTATGAGACAAAGAATGAGAAAGATGACAGAATTCTGCCTTCCTTCCTTTCTCTCTCTCTCTGGTCTCCCTGCCTCATAATCACCTCCCCTTTAAGACTGTCTTTATGAGGCTCACACAAGAAGTGGGTATAGACACAAGGAAGGGAAACGAGCCCCTAGATATAGGTACTGTGGACCTATTTCCTGATGTGGAAGAGCCCTAGGTCATCCCCGATGGGCCAGCGGTTCACCTGCTGGGCAAAGAAATGCCAGTTACCATGTGACATCCAATGGAATGTGCCGCCCGACTCACTTCCTACTAACCATGGCAGGATCTAAAACGACTCCTCCCCACATCAGCCCCCTCCCTCCTCCCCATTTCCCCTCTGTCCTCCTGGATCCCTTCCTTTGCCCACTTCTCCTTGCCTCCTGGCTCCCCTTCCCTCTCACCCATAAGGACAACTATGACCAAGGAGATAAGAAAAGCTAAGACCATTTTTACTATAAGAACAATCCAATCCAATCCACCATCGTCCGGTCAGAAGCCACCATGGCGGGACTGGGCTGCATGTGCCAAAAGTGATGGGAAATGGTTTTAAAGGCTATTCTCCAAGTGACCAACCAACCTGCCGACCCAGTCGACACACTCTCTCTCTTGTTGTCCCCACAGGAAAACCATAAGGGTTAAAATAGTAGATGAGGAGGAATACGAAAGGCAAGAGAATTTCTTCATTGTCCTTGGTGAACCGAAATGGATGGAACGTGGAATATCAGGTGTGAGATTCTTTTAAAAAAACAAACAAAATGAAACAACGGAAAGAAAGAAAAAATTTAAACAAGCTGAAAAGCAACGACAACCAAAAGCAACTGTATTTTTTCTCCCCCCTTTTCTTTCCTTTTCCTCCTTCCTCCGTTTGACCAATGGACTTTTTTTTTATTCTTTTCCCTCCTGTATTCTCGCTCTCACCCTGTTTCGGTATCATCTCTGCCGTCCTAGCCTTAACTTATTTCCAAGTCCTCCTTTCTCACCTCTGGGCACACTGCAGCCTCAAATCATCCTTACCCCATGAGTTACTTCTGCCTTGTGCTCCAGTTATCTGATTACTGATATCCCGGGCTCTCCCTGACAGCACGCACACATACACAGTAACCTGCAAAAGTGCCAACTCCTTGGTGGGTGGGGAGGAGAAGAAGAAGGAATGTAACGTGATGCATGCCTGCGCCCCTTCCCTGCCTTCTTCCTCCCCACCCCTCACTCTCTAGCCTGGATGGAACGGAGGGAGGGGTCTGGGATGGGGGCTGGGGCCCACGTTGCAGTGATGCTTTGACAGTTTTCTGCTGCCTTCCCCAACCTCCGTTGAGTGCCTGGCAGGTTATTCACTTGCAGAGTGGTCCATAGGCCCCTTTGCCCTTCATGGAGGTAAGTGTTTTATCTGGCTGTTTCACACTTGGGTAAACCGTAGCATGGAAAAGTGTCCCCGTCATCAGAGGCCACAGCTTCTGAGAGCTTTCTGAGCGAGAGCTGGCTTCAGAAGTAGCCATGCAATCTGAAATGCTGAGCTACTCTTCCTCCCCTTGGCATCCCACCCCATCCCTCTCTATCTCTGTTCTAGCCCAAGTTAGGGTACTTCATTCAGGCTGCTTTAGGATAACACAATCCCTAAAGCAGAAAACTGAGTCTGCCAAAGAAGGCAGTAACTTCAAATATTGAAATCACCTTAGCCAGAAGACCCTGGAGAAGGACTGACACTGGGCAGGCCCAGCATGTGGTCTTACGGGTTTTCCAATAGGAGAAGGGACTCAATGGCATGGTTGGTGTTGATCCCTGAGAATCAGTTGTTGGATGCTTCACAGAAGGCTGCCTTTGCTTGGCATCTGCAAATGAGCATATCACCCAGATTTCAAGATAACCCTCATCCCACACCAGACGTGGCCTCCTCTCCTCCTTTCCTTGGGGCACGCATCTTGGGATACCTGACAGGGTTCCATTTCTAAGGAACTGATTATGTTGCAACCAAGGTAGATGTCAGGAAAGAGCTCTTCCCTTGAAGAAAATGATTGGAAGCTACTACTTTGAAAGTGCTGGAGGAATATATATGTGGGACCAGGTAAGCGTGCTATTGGGAAATACCAAGAGGAAGAGGTCCACACTCCCCTTCAGGAGAGCTGTGCTGCTGGGAGCCTCGTGGAGGATGGAACAGTGAGACCCACTTGTTTGTCAAAAAGGGGATTATTCTGCAACTACTTCATGTTCGTGTGCCAAAGAGCAGCATAAAGCCTTTCACTCCAGGACAGACCTAAGAGATTTGGCCACTGCACTCCCAAAGGCACAGCCACAGGTCTTCTTCTGCGATGTATGATTGATCAGTTCTCCTTGTCTTCTGGCGACTCTCTCTGCAGCCCTGACCAGTTCTGTGCCCGCACTGGTTTGGTCACAACGGAAGTTGCAGAGGCAGAAGCCCTCTCAGCCTTCCATTATCCTTCCTCTCCTTGGCCCCACAATGAGATGTTGCCATGAGCCAGACTGCCAAAGAGTGCTGGGAAAAAGAGAAAATCACCAGTTCCATTTGCTTCCCGGATTGTATTCCTGCCACCCAAATATGCTCAGAAATTGACTCAGCACCTGCCCCGCTTCATTCCCGCCTCCTTTGTGCATTTATTCCACAGCTTCGTGATTGGTAGGATGCGGCAGACACCTAAGTTCATTGTAAACTAACGTCATCAATTTTCACAGTCTCAGTTTCGTAGGTGCAGATGAAAACAGGACAAAGGATCAGACAGAGGATCTAGAAAGAAGGCAGTCTTCTCCAGACGAAAAGAATGGATTGGAAGTCCATCAATGACTTTATTCTGCCAGAATGCCTATGGCTACTCCCCATTTGAGGACCCCTTTCTACTGCACTGGATTATTTGTCCAAGGAGATGTCAGCAGAGCCCTGGTGGAGCCCAGTCCTGGGGGCGGGAGTCTGTGAGAAGACAAGGATTTCATCAAGCTACTGGAGTGGTATCCCCCCAGATCTTCCCAGGGACCAAGATACCAAGATGGCTTCCTGTTCTATTGTCTGTAGGGTTCATTTTCAGTTTCTTCAGACCTTCTCATATTTTGGCACTAGACCATAAGTTGAAAGGTCATAAAACTTGATTGTCTAGACTCAGAATCAAATGAAACCCCATCCTGATTTTCAGAACTTCCTGCTGTTCTCGGAGTGAGAAATAGCACAGTAGAAATTGCTTTTCATTATCAATGCTTCATGGGAGAGTTTAGGTATTCAGAACAGCATAGTATAGTGTGTGCATGGTCAAAAATGACAACTGCATTACCAAAAAATATATAAAGGACTGTATTTGAAATAGGAGATTCTATTCTTAGCAAACTAAAGACCTCAAGAGTGAGATTAAATGCTCTGGACAAGCTGGGGGAGCAAATGAGGAAGGATGAATAAGAAACATGGTTGCCCTGGAGGAGACAAAACACTTGGGTGTCTAGCAGTGGACACCTGAGAGCAATGCTAAGCAGCATGGTCACGGCTGTTGGGCCTGGGCCTGGACATTGGAAGCCTCAGGTGGGAAAGGAAAGCTCTCTCCTCCAAAAATGGCGCCTGTTTATACCTCCTTTTACCAAATCCATGAGCTCACTCTGACAAGCTGCCCAGGTGCTTCCAACTAGTCAGAACTGTGCTGTTTCCTGCTTGTCCCTGGGGTGTCTGAGCGGGGATAAAGGACTCTCCCCTAACTCTGGGAATCATACAGGGGAAAGTTCAGCTCCGGCTTCTCTCATCAGCTGCAGCAGGAAAAACACCCTGGAGGTATCATGTCACTCAGAGTTGACCTACCTGGATCTCGCTGATCTGTCTATAACCATTAAGTGGAAAGTCTCAGATTCGTGTAGACAAGGACCAGGAAATAGTGCGATTCCAGCTGACTGCAAGCCCTCTCACTGTGCTAGAGACGATCCTGGTGTTGGGAGGGATGTCTGAGTGAAAACCAGGGCAGCTCTTTTTGGACCTGGGTGCAATGATGTGTTTGGGTCTGTGGTCTTCTCTGGAACGTAGGGGCCAGGATGGACTCTTCCATGCAGACGCATAGAAGGAGCAGAGTGAATAAGCTCTCTGCTGTCTGTCTATCTATCTGTCCATCTATCTCAGTGTAGTAAGGAGACCCATTGATCCATTACCCCTTGGAATTCCTCATGGGAGAAACCAGAAAATGTCAGCTGCTGCTCTCCTTACTTATATACTGTAAAGATTATAGATCCACATGTGTTTTCAGTGGCTGTGAATATGGGAATGATAAATTACAGGCTGACTCACATCCCTAGAGATTTTTAGAAGAAACAGTTTGCAGACACCTTCCGCCACTGCCCTCACGTCACTCCTTCCTCAGTAACCTTCATCAGTCACCAGCTGCCCCGGGAGGAGGGAGCAGGATGTTCCCAGATTCTTACTTGACACAAGTCAGGGAGCGAGGTCCTGTGCTAAGACACCATCAAGATGAAAATGTGGCATGTTACAAGAATTTTTTAAACTTTTGGATCTTGAAACCTAAGAGAGGTTAACATAAGGAAAAATTTAGGGGCTAGGGATGACCTGTGTTGGGTACATCTTTAACTCAGCTTCTCAGGTCATAGAGAGACCTTGCATTTGTCATCTCCCATCTACCAATAGCTTTCGGTATGACAGTCCCTCTGTTCCAGAATATCTGGAGTCTGACTTAGCCTGTCCTCCCTGGGACAAAAAGACCAGTATCCAGAGATGTGGCACCACAGAATCTATGATCTATGATCCAGTTGCCAAAATAGATGGCAAATAGCAAATCTTTATTGAACATCTGCTAATTGCAGTGACTTTGCAGTGACTATGCACCTCTAGGCACAGGTGGTGCAAAATGAGAGGGGTCTGTGGCCTCCAACCTCCAGGATATCTATATAAAATGATAAAATTTTCAAGGAAAACATTCTGCAGGATTTACCTTTTCAGTAGGTCATTCTTTTAGGGGTACTCAAAGCCCTGGCAGGGTTACAACCTATGCAGTTTCCAACATAACTGGATTCTTACTCCTTTACAGAATGGATGTGATAACCTGACCCCTTAGAAGACCACAAATGACCAACTCTGTCTCTGCCCCGCCCACTTGATTCCCCACCCTCATTCCTCTATCTCCAGCCCCCAGAGTTGGAGGGAAGGTGTGGGGAAGACGTGCAGCCACAGGACCTCGGTGCTCAGCTGTCTCTCCAGTGGCTCACAGCTCTGGCTGCTGCCGCTGCACGTGCTCCAAACGCTGCCTTTTGCATGTGGCTGCAGGGCTCTTATCTACTAAGCTCACTGCTCTTCTTATGCTACTGCATCCACAAAGCCTGGGGGCACTTTCCAGACGGGACCTTAATGCTCTTTCCTTTTCTTTCTTCCCCGTGTCTGGTATCCATTTGCAAACAGCGCTCCTGTTGTCTCCAGGTAAGAGGTGTCTTGCCTGCCTCCCCTTTTCTGCTTTTTGCCAGTGCCATTTGGTTTGGTGTAAGAACACTGTGTCCTTTCATTTAATAGGAACTGTGGGCTCAAGTTAATCTGATGAGTTCTCCTAAGAACTAGATTTATTTCCCCACTGAAGTAATTGTGAGTAATTGTAGACAATTCCTTGAGCACCACTTCTGTCAGTGGATGTGCGTAAAGGCAAAGCAGTCTTTCCTGGGGCCAGGAAGAGAACTGAAACTTACCAAAAAATTGGTGGGTCATAGACTTCTCTTGAATCTTAATTCATCTGCCATCTCGTGTTGTGGGGCGAGAGAGGATGAGAATCAGAGCTGAATATCCTAAAGGGATCATGATGGGATGAGAAAGAAAATACTTTGATCTTGAGGGGGTCCAGGGGAAAATAATCAGGAGCCGCTGTGAGAACATGAAAAGCAATTTTTAAAGAATCTGGGATTTTATTAATCCTGGAGGTCTTCCATCTCATCCAGCTGGGGCCTAAATTGCTAGAACTTTGGTTCATTTGTCATTGACCCTTGAATTCACATGTGCCATGAACAACAAGAAGAATTAGGATATTGTGGAGGAGGGAGGCAATTATCTGGCTGGAAATAGAAATTTGGGAGAATTTATTTTAGAGATATTCTCACAAAAAAATCTAGATCCTGTTGTGGGAGGTACATCTACTTTGAGAGTATGCTTACATCAGTGGAATCAAATCATAAACAATATCCAACTTTGTGAGCAGTTGGGAAAGTATTTCTAGCATATCAATAGTGCCATAACTCTTGACGCGGGCAGAGTGAATTATACAAGATGTCTCAGTATATGTTAAAATAACATTTTACGTTTCATCAGTTCTTTGAACATATAAAAATTTTAAGGTCATTTGAGAGGCAAAATGTCTTACAGAATTTATTGGTATTCAGTCACCATAGGCTATTTGCTGGGTTTGAGAAGGGGCTGTGTACATAGTAAGGACATTTACCTCCTTGGAGCCTTAAACCAAAAAAAAAAAAAGTGTATAACCCTTACACTTTTCCTTTCTGGAAAAAAATTACTCCAGCTTCCTTGGCCTCTTGCTTCCTCTTATATCAGAAAGATAAAGACTACTTCCAACCCCATATATTCCACTGTTCTCCCAGGATTTTAATATCAGAGCATTAAGTGTTCCTTCTCCATGTCACTCATCTTCTTCCCAAGGAAGGTTTTTGGGCTTCTTTGTTCCAACTCTTGCCTCTACCTCCCACCAGCCACACACATGTGCACACAGCAAAAACTGTGATTTAATTTAAGCTTCAGTATACTTTTAGCACATTGGCACAAACACCAGTAGAAGCTAAAATAGGAAAAAGTGTCATTTCCTGGATCTCTCGATCTGTAAACCTTCCATTTAGGCCTTGGTTAGACTTTAAATTCACTGGAAATCTCGAGTCCTTGTTTGGATTTTCCCTGGTGGACAGGCAAACATGAGTCACAGTGCCTGGTGATGAAAAATGGAGAGTAAATATGTTCAGTCTGAGCTACACCACCAGGCTCAGGGACCTGGGAGTTAAAGCACTGGCTGCCTCGCCCCAGCTCTTTCTGAGGATGTCTGTAGAGCATGCATGACAATCTATTCCTGTATGGTCTGGCAAGCACTTTTATCTTCCAATATTTGTTTCATTCTTCCATCCTAGTAATAGTCTCATTCTCTTTCCACCTGCCCCCTTCCTCCTTCTTTTCCTAGTCAGCCTGAATATCAAGATCACCTGTCATTTATTCTCTTCACTTGAAATTCTGAGGAGTTACATAAATAAGTGAGCAGAATAATTACGGTCTTTAAGGTTTGAGACTTATCACTATCTCAAGAAGTTAACTTAATTTAAATGTAAAGGGATGATAATTAACAAAAGTCAAAAAAGGCAGGAATAACTACCAAACCAAGATACTAAATCAGAGTTGATTTAAAGGCATGTGAATCAATCAGTTAACAGATATATAGAGAGTACCTCCGTGGGGCCATGGGAGATCCAAAGAGAGAGGCTCTATTGGTTACATGTCAAAGGTATTTTTGCAGACAGCTAGATGGAAAAACTGACTGTCACCACAGGAGTGGACAGGTCAGCAGGCAGATCAATATCCTGCCAGATGGATATAGTGCTAGATTGATAGCAAGACAAGGGGTTAGACAGATACATTTATAAGTCACTGGAGGGCTTGTTATATTGGTATAAAGTTCTTGTGGCACATGCAAAGTATGACATGGGGGAATTGGTGAGGGAAGTGGAATAACATTGTCATGGCTAGGATAGGCATTATGATATGGTGCCAAAAACCACATGCAGAGGAAAAGAGCACCCATGCTTTTAAGGAGTCTAGGTATATGTCTTTTTCCAAAGGCTTTTATTCAGAGTGGCTTGCAGTCTGGCTACAAAGATCGCTGACTTCATAGCCAGAACCCTTAAAGTACCCAGACTTAAATTACCTTCAGAATTAACTAATAAGAGACTCATAATCAATGGATTAAATGAAGTCAGGCTGCTAGAGGATGTCTGCTTAGAAATGTACAGAAGGACATTGATCCTTGAGAAATAATTGTTTCTGGAAGTGGTCAGCAACACTAACAGGAGGACAGCACCACGGACAGCTCCCAAAACATTTCGGGATTGCCTTCTGCGTTTGGTGCCAGAAGCACTGGGTAAAACAGCCAGCTCAGGAATCCTCTGCACACTCTCTTTCCAGTCTCCATTCAGGACAACTAAGAAAACCCTTATATAAAATGTGCTCTCTGCTTGGCTTATAGTCTTTTCAATGAATTCTTTTCCTTACAACCTCGAGCTCAAGTCACACCCCTCCCCATCCTTCACCAATTCCCAAGACAGAGAGAAAAGAAGACTTTCTTGGCCTCTGACCCATTTTGACCTTGAGATTATTCAAGGACTAGAGAATTCCTCTAGGAGGTTCACCGTGCGGAATGAAAGGAATCAAAGAGCCAGATAAAAGAATTAATTGCATGTAAGAATGTGGACTTGGATGGGAAGATGTTTAAACAAGCTCTGAAAGAAGCAGGCTGCCAAGAGCAATTTTGTAATCAAAGGGGAATAAAAAAATTCACTTTAATCTGGAAAACACTCTATTTCACTCTATTTCACTTTAATCCTGAAAACATGTCTTCATGGTGAAGTGATCTTAAAATGGACTCACCAGCTGAAGTGGAAAAAATTGTGTAACTGTTCAGCATGAGAAGGGACCACTGGTAAATGAGTCAAGATGCTGAGGGGCCACAGGGAATGCCTCAAAAGGAAGTAAAGGAAGAGCTATCTTTTGTTTTGTATTTGAACAAGGATTTGCGTTCCAGAAGAAACGTGCCTGGTTCTTTAGAAACCCTGGGGATCTTTCACTTGAAAATTATGAAGTTCTTGGGGAAACCTTCCAAGTTTCTGATTGTGAGGACAATATTCACTAGTATGAAATGTAGATATTCCTGGAAACATCCTTTATGTCTCCTTTATAGAAAGAATAGTCCCAAGAGTGTTGGAAATGGATGTTAATATGAACCAGTAGACAGTCCCTTTGGATTAAAATGTCCTTCTGACCCCAAGAACTCTTACATGAAGTGGTTGACCAAACAGTCATGCCCAACAGTTCAAAACTGTTAAAGGTCAACGATTTGTTTTTTGTTCCCAGCTCTCCAATAGCTCACCGGATGACCTGGGATTTCACTGGTGCTGTTTCTCAGAGGTCTGTGGGTCAGTTTGCCTGACCAGGTATAAAATAGCAAGAGGAGTGTTTAGCCCAGGCCTGCAAGGGACCCTCTCATGATCTGATGATCATAACATGTCTAGCACGTTATAGAAAGAGGCACTAAAACACAGAATTCCTGTCCTCGAGAGCTATTTGCTGTATGGCCACTGCCCACGCCTTATACTCTGAGCTTTAGACTTCCGGGGAATGGTGAATGTGCTAAAGCCAGTCTGATTTTGTTTTGTTGCAGAGGTGACAGACAGGAAGCTGACTATGGAGGAAGAGGAAGCCAAGAGGATAGCAGAAATGGGAAAGCCAATATTGGGTGAACACCCCAAACTAGAGGTCATCATTGAAGAGTCCTATGAATTCAAGGTCAGGCCATAAATGAGATATAATTGAATAACAGAGTAATGAGGTGGGAGGTAGAAGGCCTGGAGTTCTGTTCCAATTTCACCGCTGAACATATGAGGTTGAAACTGAACAAATCACTTACCCACCCCAGTCTCAGTTTTCCTGTTTGTGACACGGGACGTGTGCTGGCCATTTGTATCCCAGAAATATTGTGAGGAACTGTAACATAGCATATGGAATAAATGAGCTATAGAGCCCCCAAATGTATCATCATTTACAATTGTTTATTTGTATTTTTAAAACAAAGATACTAAAAATCACTCCCCCCCAGCTAGGTTTGTTGACATCATGACTGTTATTCTCGACCGTACTAATCTAAGTATCCAGGGTCAGTAGTCACAGCAAAAGAAAAAGAAAACAGAAGGACTATCCCAGAAGATGCCACCCAAGGCCATTCCATGCGTAACTTTCAGAGCCCACGTGGAGCTCCCCTACCCCGGAATGAAGGGTGTCTTTCCTTCACCTGAAGCACCAGTCTCTTCAGTGGTTCTGAGCATTCTCACCTCATGGTTCCAAGTTTTTATCTCCCTGACAGAGTACAGTGGACAAGCTGATCAGGAAGACAAACCTGGCCTTGGTTGTGGGGACTCATTCCTGGAGGGACCAGTTCATGGAGGCCATCACTGTCAGTGCAGGTAAGACGGTCTCAAGATGGGCACAGACCTTCCTGGGAGGAGCAGGCGGCTCCAGAGAAGGAAGAACACAGCCACATCAGCAGCCCGCCAGTCTCTAGGAGGGCTCTGTGGCCAGTCTTCCCAGCTTTTACCCTAGATGTCTGCCTTCTCACCGGGTCACTTCAGAAAGGAAGCATAGGGTAACTCAAAGGACGTGGCTTTCTCTGGCTTTAAACCCTGGTTCTACTCTGTGAACTGGGTAAGCTATCCTCTCGGCACCCGAATTTCCTTACCCAAAAAAGGGAACTATTGCTACCTTGCTCAGCAAAGAAAGTAGATAGCTAAGAATCTGGTACTGAACAGGAACTTAATAAATCCTAATTTCCATCATTCTGTTCTCTTGTTAATTGGGTCCTCCTTATCTGCAAAGTAGGGGGCTATTCTGATTTAGAGGTGTGGGAATCCAGGGTTTGTAAAATCTTTGCATTGATTCTGACAAACCTCCACCCTGAGTGATTCCAGAACTCTCCTTGGCATCTAGTGACAGGTTTCCTCAGGGGGTGCCCACAGCACAGCTAGCGTCCCAAAGGCTTGCTCATGGGTTGGAATGGAGCTAGGAGGGGTCTCGTCACCACCACGGATATTACCTCTCAGCACCACCGAGGCCTCCTTGTGCTGCCCAGAACTTCTGGCCTTGTCTCTTTTCATGAAGCTTTGTTGTCGTAGCAACCCACAGGGTCACATCCCTGAGGTCCTAGCGCCAGAGTGGAAGTACAGCTAGGAAGAAAGGGCCACTGCCGCTGTGTTCGCTGCCCCACTTTTCACATCACCTGCTTCAGATACTCCCAGTTCCCCCTCTGATGACCTTACTTTGCCCCTAAAGAGACAAGATGTGGAATGTAGGCCACATCATCTCACCCCCTCGTTTGAAAAAGGTTCAGAAACCAGAGGTGATTTAGCCCAGGTTACAGATTCTCTTCATGGCAAAGCTGCAGTTGGAACCCAAATGTCCTGACTCCTGTTCCCACTGGTTATGTCAAAACATGACAGAGGTTGCTCTGGACAGGATGCCAGCATGCCCCATTACATCCTCTCCTCCCAGACTGCTGACTGGGCAACTCGGCCCACATTTCCTGGCAAGGACAAGCGGGGGCCACCCCTGGTCTGTCCCATGGGATATTTGGGGATGGCGCTGGCTCCCTGGCAGGCCCACATGATCGGGCGTGACAGCTGTCCCGCTGGGGAGGGATAATGACCAGAACCGTGAGGTTCCTGCAGCAGTCATGTCAGGAAAATTGGAGAAGAGCCCCGCTGGTGTCCAGGGAAGAGTGGGCACGCAGCTGGTTTTGCTTTTCTTCACCTCGGCGCCCCAACGCCTGCTGCATCCTCCCTCTCTCCTCCACTGCCCTGTCGCTCTCGTGTTCTCACATCCTCTCTCTGTATCTCTTTCTCTTCTCTTTTTTATTCCCCTGTCCTCTCTCTCTCCCTCATGGTGCCCTGCATGCAAATTGACCAATGGGACAACCCAACTTGTTTTCCATTTCCCACCTGTCTTCTGCCCAGGAGAAAACAGAAGTCTCCGTGCAGCTGATGGTGCTTGCGATGTGGGTTGGACTTGACTTTCTCCTGAATGAGGATCTGACCCCGTGGCCCTTTCCCCGGCCTGTTTATCTTGCCTTCAGCAGGGGACGAGGATGAGGATGAGTCAGGCGAGGAGAGGCTGCCCTCCTGCTTTGACTACGTCATGCACTTCCTAACGGTCTTCTGGAAGGTGCTGTTTGCCTGCGTGCCCCCCACAGAGTACTGCCATGGCTGGGCCTGCTTCGTGGTTTCCATTCTCATCATCGGCATGCTCACAGCCGTCATCGGGGACCTGGCCTCCCACTTCGGCTGCACCATTGGCCTCAAGGACTCGGTCACAGCTGTTGTCTTTGTGGCATTTGGCACCTCTGTGCCAGGTGAGAGAGAGGGATGCTCGGGTTTGCAAAGAGGTTGTTACCTGGTTCAAGTGGCCCCTCCCCTTGGCCTCATGATCTTCCTTAGACCATCTCAGATCTGAGCTTAACAGTGCCTCTGCCCTTAAGGTGCACAAAAGTCCATCAGAAGAGTCAATGGTATTATTAAGAATGAGAGCTAACACTTCCTGAGTGCTTGATGTGTCAGGCAGTACGTGTGCCAAGCAGTTCACATGTCTTACCCCTGTAATGCTCGCCAAAGCCCTACTCAGTGGGGACCGTCATTATCCCCACTTGACAGATGAGGAAACTGAAGCCCACGGAGGTTGTTACCTGTTCAGGTAGGTGGCCCCATTTCTTAAGCTCCACACGGGATGAATAGGCCACAAACAATGTAACTCAGTGTAGATACAGTTCCCCTTCCATCTCCCTCCAGCAGCCTTGGAGAGGTTCAAAGTTAGCCTGCTTGAAGACGTGCAGTAGAAATGCCCACAAGCCTCCCCTACTTAGGAGGACACCTGTGAGTACAAAGTGTCTCCCAGCAGAACAAATGAAGAAGCTTCTCGAGCTCTTGTCATTTCCTATGGTGAATTACACATTCTTTATTTTCACATAAACACCTGGAGATGAACAAGAGCAGGAACGCCTTTATTCATTCGTTAAGACAAATATTTACTGAGCCTGGTACAGCCTGGTGGTCGTTTCTGGGACTATGATGGGAAGCAGGACAGACATGCTTCCCTCTCTATAATCTGGTGGAGTTTATAATCTAGTAAAGGAGACTATATTCAACTACTGTAATTAAAATCACCTCGATAAGGTCCATGAAGAAGAAATCCAGGTGCTGTGCAAGTATAAAGTAGGGGACCTCAGCTCGGCCGGGCCAGGGGCGGCTTCCATGAGGGGATATGTGTCAGCTGGGCTGGGAAGGCAGCAGCGGTCATCAGGTGGAGAGGGGCTGCATTAGCTCAGGGTTCTCATTTAGTTCAGCTGGGGTCTCCAGGGTGTCTGAACCCCCAACTCCTGCCAGGGAACTGGCCTCCTAGTTACCATAGGAAGAAAGAGACAGCATCTTCCTATGGGAGGGCGAGACTGAATCTCATCAGACAGGACTCTGCTGGCTAGAAACCCTTCTTGTGCCAAGAAAACATATCCTTCTGGAGAGTTACTGAATCTACATCACACTCTAGGAAAATTTCTTCCCCAAACCCCAGCACAGACGGGTAGGATTATTTGTACATTAATGATGCAAAAGGTTTGGCTATCATGGGAGTGCCTTGGATGGTAGGAAATTAGATGGACAATTCAGGGACGGCTTTGTGAAGGAGATGCCCAGTGATTTCTGTTCTCCAGGTCTCCAGGGACTGGGACTATCAGAGGGGAAGGAGCAGATATGGATAAAAGGAACAGATGTGGGAAAAAGTTGCAAAGAATCAGAGGTTAAAAAACAAAAGATGAGGTCACAGGCAAGAAAAGGCAAGAGGTTTTCTCTGGAAGAAAATTGGCAATGAAGAGGCAAGCCAGGACAAGCCAGGCAAGGGCGAGCTTGGGGCACTTCCAGGTCCTTACAGTGGTCCAGAGAGCAGCTGGCAGTATTAGGGGCTTGAAGAAGGTTATGCTGTGTTCCACTCAGCTGACTTCATGGCTTTGGCTGAAGCTCTTTGGCTGTAGGGTGATGCTGTGGAAGGGGCTCTTCCATGAGGGTTTTAGGGTCAAATCTCTTGCTAATTTACCTTGAGTAACTTCCGTGACCCTTATTTTTCCTAACTTGTCAAATAAAAGGATGTCCCTGACAGTCCTTCTAGTGCCTACAATCCATGCCAACATCTCAAGTCAAACAGCCTGCAAGGCCCTGTGCTCTGGGACTAACTGCAAAGGCAGAGCCCCGTCTTCGTTGAGTCCACAGCTCACCCTGCAAGTCCCCAGGAGGATTCTCTGCCATGTCTTCTGTCCCCATAAACCCAGCACTTACTAGCACAGTGCTGAGCCCATGGGTGCCATCACCGTGTGTGTTATGTGAGCAAATGTCCCATGTGATGGGCAATCAGGCACTTACTCCAAGCAGCCTCCCAGGATGTCTAGGTTCCCTGGGGAGATGTTATGGGATAGCAAACTCCCCTTCGTGAAAAAGTAGTCCAAAAGGAACAATAAACCCACTCAGTAAGTATCAGGACTGGAAGGACCCTTGGGAATCTTTCAGGCGCAGGCAGATGAGGAAGGGGAGGCTCAGAGAAGTGAGGTGACCTATCCAAGGCCACAAAGCCTATTCATGGCAGCGCTAGGGTAGACCCCAAGACCCCGCCTCTCATTCCCGGGCTCAGCCCGCTGGTCCCAGCTGCTGCTTGGACCCACTCACAGGTAGGCCCTCCACATCTCAGCCTCCCGCCAGCTCCCACTTGTCTCTGCCTCTTCCAGATACGTTTGCCAGCAAAGCAGCCGCCATCCAGGACGTGTATGCAGACGCCTCCATTGGCAACGTCACGGGCAGCAATGCGGTCAACGTCTTTCTGGGCATTGGCCTGGCCTGGTCCGTGGCCGCCATCTACTGGGCCCTTCAGGGACAGGAGTTCCGCGTGTCAGCCGGCACGCTGGCCTTCTCCGTCACCCTCTTCACCATCTTCGCGTTCGTCTGCATCAGCGTGCTCTTGTACCGCCGGCGGCCCCACCTGGGCGGGGAGCTGGGCGGCCCTCGTGGCTGCAAGCTGGCCACGACCTGGCTCTTCGTGAGCCTGTGGCTTCTCTACATACTCTTTGCCACGCTGGAGGCTTACTGCTACATCAGGGGGTTCTGAGCCACAGAACCAGGCCTCCCACTGGGCAGGCCCAGGACTCCTAAGAGAAGGGCGCTTCCCTACCCAGTGACCTCTCCCGGATACTCAGCCCTGGAGAGGTAGCATCAGGACCCGAGCCCCAGGAACTTCACCTGACTAGGCCCTGGCAGTGAACTGAAAGGGCAGAGTCAATCAATCCAACAGAAGGGAGGAAACACCCACTTTACAAAGTACTTAATTCAATACAAGCCAACAACAGCAACAAATCCACCTCCACCCCATCTTCCCACCACGTCCCTGGCCCATAGCAAAGGGCAGACCCTTTTGCCATCTTTTATTCCACCTTCTTCTGAATATTCCTTTGCTTCTACTTTCCTCAGGGGCAGGGATTCTCCTGTCTGTCAAGTTCAATACATCACCGCTCTCTCACTCAGCCGGCGAGGCGTGAAAATGAGTCTGATCCACGTGGCTGGTTTGGGGTTCTCTTTTCATTGTAATCATGATGGTGGTTGCTTCGTTTCCCCATCAGGTTTTGCTCATTGATTGTTTGTTCGTCTTGTCTTTCCTTTTGGAGGTTAGTGACAGAGGTGCTGTGATGGAGCCCAAGGGTAGAGGCAGGAACTTCCAGACACACACATTCCCACTCACGCTGGGTAACAGCTGTCTCTTGCTCTATCCAGGTCCTGTCCGCCATCCTCTTTTTCCTCTGCACTCTTGAGTGGACTGATGGTGTCTGGGTGGCAGTAAGTTTGCACACCCGTGCGGGGCACTAAAGGACAGGGGCTGTGGCAGGAGCAGGAACAGCTTTCTGTCAAGCTTCGGTCGAAATCCGGTTTAAAACGAGAAGTCGTTCTCTCCCCTGCCCGAGCCTTTTAGATTCTTTCTGTCTCGTCGTGTCAATGTCTATGTGTTTATCCTTCTGTGGGAAGACCCACCAAGTGGGAGAGAGGGGACAAAAATAGGAATGGGATGTGATGACCTAGGGCAGCTCGGGAAGCAGGAGGGATCTCTGCCTTCTAGAACATCTTTGGCTTCGTGTCGGAGGCAGGAGAGACGTCCACCTAGTGAGATCTCTAAGGGGGGAGATACTTCACGTCAGCACTTTTGAGAAATGTCAGTTTCACCACCCCTCACTTTCTAACGTGCCAGACTGAGAACTCTGAGTGTATTTCTTGATTTAATGGGAAAACTTAGACGTATATAAGGAAATGAGGGGCTCCTGCCACCTCTCCTGAACGCTCGGGTCGTATTTGAAAACATTTTCACAAGACAGGAACTAGAACTCATCTCTCCCACATCCTCGCTTGTTTTTAAACCTCTGGAAGCACTTTTTCCAGCCTGTGGGCTGTTTCTTGCCCCAGTAGGAGGAACCTTAGTTGCCATAATCCCACGGAGCCTGGGTTTATTGAAAGAGAGGTTGCCGTGCCCTCCAGACCTTTTCCCAACAAGTTTTGAAAGGACCTGGCTTTAAAACACACACACACACACACACACACACACACACACACAAATGACCACACATATGAAATCACCACAAAACTGCCCACAGATCTTCAGGCTTTCTGCATTGACATAAATACATTTTTTAAAGGAAAAGAAGAAATTAAAATACACCTGTTTAATTTTAAACACATTTTTTAAGAAAAAAATTAAAAAAGAAACAGTGCTCATGTCACAAGCTATGTTGACAGTTGCTGGTGGAAATGTTGGGTTGGTTTAAAAAAATAATAAAAGCTATACTTATCTCTCTCTAAATACAGCTTGCCTCTCCCCGTGTTTCTTCAGGAAAAGGTCCAAGGGGCCACCTTGGGTTTCTTCTGGAGCTGAGGTGGTTGATGTGAAGGTGTCATCTCCTATTTGTATCTCCTCTTTGTATCTGTCGTCCCCTCAGACGCCAGGGTGCCAGACCCAGGATTTGTAAAGCGAAAAATGCTTCGGGAAATGCCACCTGTCAAAATCTGGACTTCGAGACGCTGGAGGACGTAAGGTGGTGCCGTGGCGATTAAAGGGGAGAGAGCTTTAGGTATTAGAAAGGCCTAGTTGGGCAGGAGTCCAGCGAGGCAAGCAGGGCCCTGCATTTATTAGCAATAGACACATTCATTCGTTCACTCCTCACTCATTCAACAAGTGTATTCTGAACAGCTTCGAGGCATGGAGCATTCTGGTGGCTCAGTGAAGACTAAGACAGAGTGCCTGACCTCAGGAAGCTCACAGGAGGGGATGACTTCTTTCACCAAGGCTCTTTTGGTTACAAGAAACAGAAATCTATATTAAGCTGACGGAAGAAATGTGGGGCGGCAGTGCAATCCTTCAAAGGAGCGCAAGGCAGGAAGCACAGCGGGCCACAGGGGCCCGAAGGCGATCAGGAACGGAGGCCACTCTCCTCCTCCTCAAACCGCAGTGTCCCCCATCCTTGTTCTTTCCCCCATCAGGCGAAGCCACTTCCTCCCCCTCCCAGTCCCAACGTGCTTTTCTTGTCTTGCACGTGGTCCAGCAGAGCCACCCACCCTGACACTGCAGCATGCCCTCACAGCTCTGGTCCCCTAACTGGAATGTCTCTTTTTTAATCTGAGGGCAGATTCTCAATGGAGAAAATGTGGCCAATTCCCCATCCCCAAAGGGTCATTCCCAGAAGGCAGAACCCTCTGTGGAAGGCTGTGTCGGGCTGGTGGGGGTGCCCTGTGGACTGGTGACTGTGTAAGGTGTCCATTCAGGTAAGGAGAGAGGGGCTGGTCACCACATTGTACGTACTATTGCCCTTTCCAGAAGCTAAGAGGTGGGAAGAAGCCTATGATCATATGAACCATCAAGGTGCAAATAACAATTACAGCCCCATAGTCAGTGGTGGAAGAGGTGTAGACAGAGCACCGTGGGAACCCGGTGGAACAGAACACTAAGTCAGGCTGGAACAAGTGGGAAAGGCTCCACCGAGAATGCCACATTTAGGTGGGATCTTGAAGGACGAATATATGGTGATTTACCTTGGTGAGGGGGCTTGGTGGTGAAGGACAGATGAGAAACAGGATGCCCAAAGGCACAGGCGTGAAACGGGGCATGGTGGGGTTACGGGATAACTAACAGTCGTTGGCGTGGCTAGAGAGTAGAGTGCAAAAGGACACAAATCAACACCAAAAACAAAAGCAGTCAGGGAGAAGGGTTTGGCTAAAAGGCTTGTTCCATTTTTTGCCAACTGTGAAGTTGACAATGAAAAATGTCCCTTAGCCAATGAAAAGTAGACGCAGGCTCATGAAATCCATTCGTACCCAACTCTCCCCATTAGTGAGTCATTTCTGGGTTGTTCAGGTGTTGGGCTTTGCCACAAGAGAAGCTGGGATGAACCGCAGAGAATGCGGAAGAGGACTGAGGAGAGGAGCTGGGGAAGCCGAGGACCTGGGACGAGTCTGTTGCCACCACTAACTGGGTCTGTGGACTTGAGCCGATCTGCATCCTCTGTGGGTCAGTTTCCTGAATTACAAATAAGGTTTCCATCCATGGCCTCTGAAGCCCATTACTTCTAGGTTGAACACTGAGATTCTAGGATATATACATGAAAAGTGATGCATGTGTATGTGCACGTAAGTAATTAAGCCGCCCGTTGCCCTCATCTGACAGAGCACAGCAGACGTCTTTCTACAGTCCCTGGGCTCCACAGCCTGTGTATTAGTCAGTGTGAAAAGGACATGGCCAACCATCATGCACAGGCCATTTTCAGCACTTTTTACTGAGAGAGCCACAACATTCCCATCCCCTCGACTCATTTATTATGTAGAGTAATGTCAGCTGCTGTAACAAAAAACCCTTAGCAAAATGAAATTTTCACACTCATGTGCTAACCCAGTGAGAATGTTCCTGGTCAGCAGGTGGCTTCCTTCCATGTGATGATTCAGGAACTCAGTTTTCTTCCATTTTGCGATGCGGCCACTCTCGGAGGCCTTGGTGTCCTCTTCGTCCAGTGGCTGATGGGAAGGAAGTTAGGAAATACAAGCACACTTCTCACTGCCTTGGCTCCGAAGTGATAACCATCGCCTTTGCTCACATTCCATTCATAAAAGTTTATCACCTTAACCCACTCGAATGCAGAAGACACTGGGAAATATAGTCGTGACCAGGCAGCCACTTCCCAGTGACCACTCTATCCCACAAGAAGACGAATTTTTTATGAATGGCTGCCTCCGTCACAACCCCTCTGTGATTAAAGGTAGATATTTTTAGTATCAATGGCCAAACGCAATCTGACCTATGTCTATGTGGAGTCTTGTGGTTTACAAAAAACCTTTCATATGCATGGGCTTGAGTTGGTTGAGAGTCACAGAGCTAGGTGTTATTCTCATTTTATCAGTGAGGTTCCAACAGGTTAAACGATTGGCCAGGAGCCACAGTGAGTAAGAGACAGGTCAGAGACACAAGTCTTGTAATTCCAAATCAGAATGTCGTGGCCTCCCATGATCCACACCAGAACAAAGGATGAGGTGACCACCCCCCTCCAGCCCAGGAGGCTGCTGTCCCAGTGAGAGGCCCTGGGAGACAGCCAGGGTCTGGGAGGGAAACAGGAGAAGCCAGATGCCACTGACCCCCTCGCCCTCCTTCAGTTTCCTTCACTTCCCTTTGTCTCCATCCTTACTGAGCAAGAATGCCCTTTGAGGGCAGCTGAATGGACTCATGTTCCAGAAAAGCCAAATTTCCAAAAGAAAAATTTCCTTATGATAAAGTGATTTGGGGTAAGGAGTCGTCTAATTACTCACAATTAATGATGGAGTGTTACCTGGTCCCAGGGAGGGAGGTGATTCAAAAGACACCTTGGGAAAGGATTCCTGGAAAGCTGCCCTAGGAGGCAGGCCATGTGACCTTTATGACATGTGCAGCAGAGAAAGGGGAACCAAACTGTCTTTATAAGAAATGGGATTAGCTCTTACTCATCAGCTTGAAGGAAATTCATCATTCTTTCTCAAGAATCTGGAAAGAAGGTGACCCAAGTTTAACGAGTCTGATGCTTCAAAATCCTTAGATTCTGATTCCTAATCTTAGTCATTTCTGCTGTATCTCAGGTTCATCCCAACATCTACATCAGCTGAAACACAATAGGAGCTGGTCGTCATTCTGTGGGCTCCCCAGTCACCTTTACTATAAGTGCAGAGTCCATGAATGGCACAGCGACGTAATTCACCCTTCTTCTACGATCAGTGCCGCTGGCAGACTCCACTTCTCTCTCCATGACTGTGGGGCAGGAGTTAAAACCTGGTGGCCAGCAGGCTTGATATGTTTGATCCATGAAGTGTCTTTTTAACGGGATAATTGTCAGTGTTTTAAACTGGAAACATTTGGTGTGATAATCTGGATTTCCGCCTCTCCGGCTACGGTGGGTGGGCGTTCCCACGTGGCAACAATCCAAGGGAGCTGATCAGTGGTCACTCTGTGGAGACAGGGCTCACGTTCTCCACTCACCAGTGTCTTTACCCAGCCCGCCGCTCTCATTCACGGGACCCTCCTGGTCCCTGGAGACATGTGACACCAGCTATGGGGTCAAGGCTTGAGGTTTTGCATTTTGGCCTTTCATGTGTTGGTGCTAACCTTCAGGATTCTGTGGGGTTTGATTCCCAGTTCTACCATTCTCACCTTTTGTGAGATTTTAAACAAGCGTCTTTAAGCTCCCTGAGCCTCAGTTTCTCCAATCCAAACATGCAGTTGTTGCAAAAGTTAAACGACCCATTTTTCAAGGCAATTACTGTCGTGCCCTGTACCTAGCATACACCCTGGGAATATTCCTTTCGCCTCACAATATTAGTTTGTGATAAAAATCCCTTACAGCTTGTGCCATCGGGGTTGAAGAGCCTGGCAGGGTTCCAGGAGGGAAGATGGATGGCTCCAGGCCACCACATCCAACATGCTGTCCCTCTGTAGGTTGGTCCAGGCAGGCTCCAGAAAAGTGGAGAGAAGCTCCCCACGGTCTTGCTTCCAGAGCAGGAGCAGGCCTCTACCTGCTGGGGCTGCAAGAGGCACAGAGATCGAGACTTAGAGGGATGGCCAAGGGGAACAAGCACCCCCAGGTCAAGAAAGCCCCTTAGCACATTGGAGAGGAGAGGCAGATGTATTTGGCATCAAAGAAAGTGACACAGAAAAGGGCAACAGGCCATATAGGGTTTTCCATGTTAGTAATACTGTGAGTAATGGTGGACAGAAAAATCTATGGGCTTGCAGATGGAGGTGAAGCTTTGGGAGATGCCATGTAGTCTGTCCAAGGTCATCCAGCAAGTGGCAGAGCTGGACTTAACTACCTAGGTCAACCAGAGTTCAAGGTCACTGCTTATTATCTTCATATGCACCTGTTGGGTATGTAAGACAAGCATTGTTTACAAGTAGGATGGCTTGTCTGGGTTTCCCCAGGACTTTCCTGGTTTTAGCACTGAAATTCCCATGTTTTAGGAAGCCCCTAAGTCCTAGGGATGGTTGGTCATCCTAAAATCTTATGACCGTCTTACACAATAAGGCACCTCACAGAGGCAACTTATGTTAACCTGCCTACCATCGCCCTGTGTAGCACAGACTCCCGTCCGCACTACGCGGACATTGCCATCCCGAGCAACAACAAGGGCGCTCACTCAGTGGGTCTGAAGTAGGGGATGCTCGCCCAGGAGGTTCTGCTCATGTGCGGCACCATCTCCCGGGAACACCCTTGGGAGGTCATGCCTGAGCTCTGCTTCCACAGAGATCCGAAGAGATTGAAAAGGAAGAGCAGGCTGCAGCTGAAGATTGTGACCAAGGAGGAATTTCAGGGTGAATGGTTGGCTCCCGTTCCTGAGTTCACTGCTACTCCCCCTGAGACGGCAGGCTGGGCAGAAGGCGAGCAGGTGCCCTCTGCGCCTGTCCAGCGGTTCCCTGCAGAAGACTGGAGCGCTCAGCCCCTCGGGACTTTGGGGGGGTTTCTATTTTCCCAGAATTGGTAATTAAGGGCCAAAACTGAGAAAAAAGGAGAGGCTTAGTATCATATATCCTAAAGAGCAACAGATACCCTCCCCAAAGATAGCACGACACTCAAAATAACTCTGTAACTAACCACCCTTCCCCATCCCTATCTATTAAAAAAGGTTAGGGGAGAGAGAGGAGAGAGGTAGACAAGAATCACTGGGTTGCTTGCTCTCCTCCTTGAAGCTGAAAAAGGAGGGAGACTCAGAGAATTGTTTCTGGGGAGTTAGGCCAGCTGCAGGCCCGACATCCCATTTCCCAGTTGGACATCTGTGATGCAGCAGACTTGCTGACCAGTCTCCTCTACCCAGTGAGGCAAAGGAGAGGAGAAGTGGCCGAGAGGCAGAGCTGAGAGAGGAGGCAGGTGTGGATCAACCTGCACCACCACCAACCAGCAAGGATGTGTGTTTCCCACAGATGAATGGAGGCCCTAGAAGGGAGCCGGGTGTGACCATAATTCAGGTATAAAACCCAAGGCAGAGTCCTCAGAACAAAGTGGACATGGGCTACATTGGTGTGGGGAAGTGTGGAAGAGGTCAAGCCAGAGCTGGACTTCCCACATAAAGGCCCTGTGCAGTGGGGAAGACCCACCCAGAACCAGCACGGGCCCCATACGAAGGCCAGCGTTCGGGCCCCTGTCGCACAGGGGTCCAGCCGTGCCAGTCTGGGAAGTGGCCACAATGAACAGAGAGGGCTCAACTGTGGTCTGTTAAGAGACCCCCATGGTTTTCCTTTCCCTCCCTCTATCCCACCATCTCAGGACAGCTGCGTGAGGATGAAGGGAAGGAGGAACGGTCTCAGAGCCTGGCCGTAGCCTCCCTGCTCGCCTCCAAGCCATCGGGCTGCCAGCTTACGACTGTGCCGGGGGCAGAGAGGGGAGGATGATCTAAATCCAGCTAGAGGTTGAAGTTTGTACTTGGTTGGAACTGAGCTTGTGAATACCTGAAGTAACCAGGAAGTTAGGGGAACTGCCCAAGTTGTCATGGGGGGTCCACAGCACAGAGTAGGAAGATGCAGCAAAGCACAGCTGAAAGCAGTGATTGCACGGGGACAGTTCACATCTGTACCTCCGGAGGGAAGTGATTTCTCAACCAGCCCAGAGTTACCTGCCCCGCCCAAGTTCTCCAGCACAGCACGGGGAGCAGGGGGTGGTGAGGGGAGAGCAGTTACTGCAGGGCCTCACTTACCTGAGATGTAGCTTCCAGGTTGGGAGGGGAGGGGACTGGGAGCTCACAGGAGGGAAGGGGCATTCACGGTTACCAAGCTGGAGAACGGTAATTACCATAAATGTGATAGATCTGTCAGAAGTAATAGACATAAAATGCACCATGTAAAACCCCGAAAAGCAAGTCTTTTTCGTTCTTGGGCAATATGAAAATTACAGATTTTAAATCCATATAGAAAACACAGAGATCATCTACATTGTGAGAGTCACCAGAGTTGCTTACCAAATACTTCTAATTCTACATCTGGCACTTACCTGTTGAGCTAGGTGGGACCACGTGATTTGCTTTAGTCATTGAAATGTGTGCAAAGTGACATGTCACTTCCAGGTGGAAGCTTTAAAAGCCAAGGTGCAATTTAGCATGTTCCCCTCCTTTTTTTGTCTCCACAATCATGGAGGATGGCGCTTCCCTCAACCCAGCTCCCTGAGGAAAACAAGCGCCCCCTGCTGACATATGATGGGTATGTTGCAGGAATGAGAAGAACACCTTTGTGATTTAGCCGCCGGGAGGATGGGTGGGGTCTGTGTTACTGCCGCTTATCCTGGTCTCTCCTGATTCTTGTTAAGTCGTTTAGCAATGTGCCCATCACCCAGTGAAGAGACCACATCCAAGTATTCAATGCCACTCCACCACCAAACATGTGGATGATCAGGGTGGCCCTGCTCGGGTGTGCCACATACGGAATCGTGGACCATTAGCTACAGTCAAAGCCTTGTCTGGGAAGACCCCGGGCAAAAGGACCTTCATAGAGCAGCTAAAGGAAGAAGGGGAACAGTGCAGACAGCAAAAGGGGTGAGGCAACTCTGAGGAGGTGTTGGCTGGGGTGACACAGACGATTATAAGAAACGGGCCAGAGTGCTGGACCAGATCCGACAAGAAATGTCAGGAGATACCTGATTCAAACACTTAGCATGGACATTCAGATGGCAGGCATGTAACCAAGGTCATGACCCTTCGTATCAATTCATGAAAGTCACACAAATTGAAGCCATGATCCAGGCCATAGGGATGAGGGCTTGATTTGGTGGCACTGCATGAAAAAGGTCAAGTTTCACCTGCCCCCAGGTGTACAATGTTAAAAAAAAAAAATAAGGCCAAATACCACAAAACCAGAAGACCAGGATGCTGGGAAGGTCTTCAATCTCTTTGGTGGGCACACCTGTGGCCATGTGGGTCCTTTAGGAACTTGGGAGTAAATGGCCAGATGACCAGCGCGGCTCTCTCTAGGTTTTTCCTCCTAGGGATCTGGTGCTGCCAGCTTCCCATCCCACCCAGACCCCCTGGGGAACCAGGGATGAATACTAACCTGGAAGCCCCTCCTCTGGCATCTGAAAACACGCCTGGCCCCAGCAGCCGTCGTCTCTTGACATCCTGATGGGGCTACAGGCTAGCCCTTTTCCCTCCCCACATTAGGCTGGGTCTCTCTGCTGGAAGCGAGGTCAACCCCAAAGTGGTCTTGCCTGGACAAAGACCTCCCTTATTTCTCTTCCCCAAATCCCTGAAGCCCATGATAGGCCTCTGCAAATTAGTGGCTTTTAATAAGACCTAAACTGCTCAGATGAAAAAATGCACTCACAGCTGAATGCAACTGCCTGGGGTTAAGGGGGGAGGAGACTGTGTTCTAGCTGCTCCAGGAAGGCAGCCAGGATTGGGCAGAGCCCTGGGCCTGGAGTAGAAGATCTGAGGGTGACACCGGCTCTGCCTTTCCCAGCTGGGTGCAACCCAGCAAGTCACTGAACTCCCACGTCTGCATCCACCCCTGTGAAATGGGGATGATGCCGCTGGCAGCTCTGGGCTGGGGTGAGTATGAAGTATCTCAGGGCCTGTGGACACAGCGGCACAGAGGCACCATGGGAGGAGGGGGGACCTGTGTGACCACATTCAAGGGCTGAGATCCTTTCCCAGAGAAACTTAGCTGAAGAAAGGCTTAGGGGAGAATTTTTCAAGGGCATTATCTTCTGTTCACCTGCCATGGACAAGGAATCTGGAGGAGGCTCTGAGAGGCTGATGAGGAAGCCACCGCCAGGGCCAGCTGTGTGTGGAGAGAGGGGGACAAAGGGAGACGATGCCAGCAACACCGGGAACAATCAGGGCCACATCTCTGCTGCAGAGTCTACGCCGAAGGCCGCCAGCAACACGAACCAGACCAGCAGGCTTGACCTGAATACGTGCCACACGGAACTGGGGCACAAACGGTGTGAACCCCACTGGGGGCCTGCTCCCTGTCTGCAGCTGCTTCCCAGCCTGGGCTCTTGTGATCCGGATGACGGCCAGTGTGCCCACGCCTGCCAGCCTGAAGCCACGGAATGGGCCACCCCCAGCCCTGCCCCCAAAGCACCACCAGCCACATCCCGACCCTCCAGTCGAGGGTCTGTGGGGGCAGCTGTGCCAAGGGCACCACCACCTATAGGCGAGGGACCCCAGGGGATCGATGTCCTCACAGCAAAGCATGGCGTCCTGAGACTGCCAAGGC